TCCAGAGTGCTACTGTTGAAGATGTTCAGGAAAATACACTAACCCAGGACTGAAGTTGTGTTTCTTGTGCAGCAAATGTGGCATCACAATGAAGTCTGTGAAAGAGTAGCCTTGGTAAGTATGGAGGGAGCACTGCAAAATGCAGCAATCTTGGTTAAAAATGGTTAATCTCCCCCTGTTGAATAAATTCCATTGCTGATGAAAAGCCCTGAGTTAAGAGCAAAATAAGGATTTTATTATCATTGGTTTGATTGTCTTGTATCTTCAATTTATGTGTCCGTGGTCTCGTCAAGTTCTGCCGAAGACACAAGAGTTTTCAACTTCAGTTTAAAACCCTGAGTCCAATTACAGTGTTGAAAAGGGTTGTTACTTTTTTAGAAAGAACTGTCTGAACTGAGGACCCAGCTCTGTTTCCAGTATGAGCTGCAGGGACTGCTGGTGCAGGTTCCATGCGACAGGCCCGTGTCCTGCCTGGGCTCAGAGCATCTCACTGCAAAACTAATGGATTTCATTGGAAAGAAAAGTTGGTGGATCAATCTAGCCTGGTATGCTTAGTAATAGACTTTCTTTAATCAACTTGTTGTTGAAAGCTGTAAAATGTTGTGCAGGAAAAGGTGGTTGCAAATAAATCATGGAGGATTACAGTTCTCCCCGCTTGCTTTGGAGGAGAATTGATTGTTTTCTCCAGCCTGCCTGAAACAAGCAGCCTTTCTTGTCTGGCAGCTGAGCTTTCAGTGTGCTGGGATGTAGTAAAGTCAGCCTGATTGAACGAGGCTGTTTCCTTGCTCATATTTCACCAAGACAGGGCAATGAAAGGCAGCCTCACATTCCTGGCTTCTTACTGCCCTCTGAACCGGGTTGGGAATCTAAGAATAAACGCTGGCCCATTTTAAGGTCCCTGGGGAAGGAAATGAGTGCTGTGATTGCTGGGAAAGAGGGAAGAAAATCAATTAGCCTATGGAATCCAGAGGGGTTACCCGCTCCAATATGGACATCATTGTAGCAATCCTCCTGGGGTGGGCTTGTCCCTTTTCCCAGCAGGATTTTGTTCTGCCACCCTCCCCTGCTGTGTTTCCCTGCAGCCACGTGCACCCATCATCCCAGAGAGCTATTGCTGGAATTTCTCTTCCACTCCTTTTCAACTGCCACCTCCAGGAGGGGAGTGTGATGTCAAACTCTTCGCACCAAATACTGAGAGAGCAACCTGGACCTGGCTGCAGCCTGTGGACAAATTCCTGCTGAGTCTGATGGTACCAAATCATGATGCTGGGAGTTGAAAGAGGAGTGTCCCTAAAGCCCCCCAAACTGGCACGGGGGCAAGAGCCAACAAAGTCCCATGTGAAGAGCAGTGCCCTGGTCAGGGAAAGCGTTTGAATTTCCTCAGGTTTCAACATTACCTTGCTCCTTTCAGGGGACTTTGCCAATCCCCCCTTCTCCCTGCACCATGCAGGCTCTCATTGGCCGTGGGAGAAGCTGTTACAGGAATAAAACTGATTCTCTCAGCAAACAAGGTTGTCTTTTTCAAAGTGCCACTGATGTGGGGGGTCACCCTGGGAGCAGGACGGTTTGGAAGGTAGGAGGTAACACGCACTAGTGGGTTAGTCTTTGGGCAGGGCATTTGCAATGAAGTTGTAGCATTTGGAGACATAGTGGCAATAGAATTTGTCTCAAGAAAAGAGAGCTGCATGAGGACTGGTGCTTTTCCTCCCCTGTGGAAGAACTTGCTATAATGAAATATAACAGAAAGTGCAATCGTCTCCCTGATATTTAAAGCTGAGAGATTGGGGTTAAATACCTTGTGAACTGGAATATTGTGGTTTTAGGGACCAAGCCAACGAACAACTGTATTGTTTCAATGTTGTTATGGGCAACAAGTAGTGGATATTTAGAAACAATTAAATATAGGATGTACTGAATGAGGTGTCACTGCAGCAAAATGTAATTATTTGTATTTTGTGTCCACTACTAATCATCATCTTTCCTAGTGGAGGGAGTGAATGATTTTACAATTAGTGGTTGTAAGCCCATGTAATGGAAAACTCCCAAAACTCAGTTTTATTAAAATGCATATTTAGGAACAATTTCATTAGGAATTCTTATTTTTATTATTATATGAATTATATTATTATATTTTTGTTTAATTAGGAATACGTATTTTAGGAACAGTGTTGTCCATTATAATGAAAATCTGTTTAATGATTCCTTGCTCTGAGCAATTTATTTTTCTACAGAGACTAGGAAGGTATGATTTTTCAATGAATTATGTTTTTCCAGGATTTGATGGCAATCCATCAACCTGGCTGTGCAACTGGAGAGTGTCTGGTTTTAGAGCCTGTTGGTTCATGACAGTAAAATATATAAACGGGAAGTTCTGGGTTTATCTAATTGTCTCCTAACAGTGGCAAAACACTCCCTCATGATGATATTCTCCAAAAGGGGAATTTGGTACTATTTTTTCCCTCTTCCTAGCAGGCAGATGACTTCCCTTCCCTGTGGCTGCTCCCCTGCTGCTGGCTGGAAGGTCTGGCTCCTCTCTGCCCACCGGTGCTGAGCGCTGCTCCCCACACCAACTGCCCCCAGGGAAGCTCTTCATGGTGAGCTTGGCAGGGGTTGCTGGGGACCCCATCCAGGCCTGTGGCAAAAAGCAGTGCCCACTATCCCATCCTAATGCAGCACGTGCCTGGAGAAGGGAGAATTTATCCCTTACTGGAGCTGAGGGGGTGGAGAAGGGGTTCAGCCTCAGCTGCGGGCAACAGTGATCCCTGGGGATTTCGTGTGGATAATCAGTTTTGCAGGAAATGATTTGGTTTTGTGTGAAAATGGAAAAAAAATCATGACCCTTTCCTCTAAAATGGAATTCTAAAAGATGGAAAGATTATATAATCCAGCCCCCAAATGCCTGACTTTGGGACAGACCTCCTTGTGCCCTCGGGATGGCAAGTACACTCAGCGTTTCTCCCGGGGACTTTTTCATGTAATGAAGCACCTGAGCTGCTAAGGAGGGTTAGATTACAGGTTCAGCAAGAAAGAGAGTCTGTCCCTTTTGTATCTACAGGTCAGCACACTGGTTTAAAAAAGAAACAAAGATTCTTTATATGCCAAGACATCTGAGAGTCATCATCTGCTTGCCTCCCCTCCCCTGTGGCTGCTCCCCTGCTGCTGGCTGGAAGGTCTGGCTCCTCTCTGCCCACCGGTGCTGAGCGCTGCTCCCCACACCAACTGCCCCCAGGGAAGCTCTTCATGGTGAGCTTGGCAGGGGTTGCTGGGGACCCCATCCAGGCCTGTGGCAAAAAGCAGTGCCCACTATCCCATCCTAATGCAGCACGTGCCTGGAGAAGGGAGAATTTATCCCTTACTGGAGCTGAGGGGGTGGAGAAGGGGTTCAGCCTCAGCTGCGGGCAACAGTGATCCCTGGGGATTTCGTGTGGATAATCAGTTTTGCAGGAAATGATTTGGTTTTGTGTGAAAATGGAAAAAAAAATCATGACCCTTTCCTCTAAAACGGAATTCTAAAAGATGGAAAGATTATATAATCCAGCCCCCAAATGCCTGACTTTGGGACAGACCTCCTTGTGCCCTCGGGATGGCAAGTACACTCAGCGTTTCTCCCGGGGACTTTTTCATGTAATGAAGCACCTGAGCTGCTAAGGAGGGTTAGATTACAGGTTCAGCAAGAAAGAGAGTCTGTCCCTTTTGTATCTACAGGTCAGCACACTGGTTTAAAAAAGAAACAAAGATTCTTTATATGCCAAGACATCTGAGAGTCATCATCTGCTCTATAGGAAAAAAATGTGTGTTTCTTACTTTGTTCTCTCTTCCTGGTTCAGCTAAATCAACACTTTGAAAATAAAAACAGACCTGAAAGTTTACACTAAAAAAATATACAAGACCAGAAAATCAGTTAGTAACTAAAAAAACCCCAAACCTGAGTTGTTTTTTGGGTTTTTTTTAATACTTGGTGTTTAATTTTGTTTCCATTTCTTCATTTAGAGCAAACATTTTTTCTAATGTGTATTTGTGTTGCACTCTGAAGTATTAATTTAATTATTCCTAATCATACACTTGGAAGAGAGACAGGTTGTCCCAGTGATTCAGTCAGTCCCTTGCCCTTCCATTGATGCCCAAGGAAGCACTTCCAACCACAGCAAACAGGAGCAGCCAAATGCCATGTTCTGTGTGGTGATGGTCAATAGGGGTGAGCAGGCAAGAGGTTTTGCTGATTATGCTTCACTTTCCCCTAAAAAGTGAGGGTCTGTAATAAAGTCCTTCAGGCAGGTGCCCACGGGTGCCTGAAACTTCTCCTGCAGGTCAGGCTTTGTGGGGTGTTGTGCAGGGGTTTGTGTGTTGTGCAGGGGTTTGTGTGTTGTGCAGGGGTTTGTGTGTTGTGCAGGGGTTTGTGTGTTGTGCAGGGGTTTGTGTGTTGTGCAGGGGTTTGTGTGTTGTGCAGGGGTTTGTGTGTTGTGCAGGGGTTTGTGTGTTGTGCAGGGGTTTGTGTGTTGTGCAGGGGTTTGTGTGTTGTGCAGGGGTTTGTGTGTTGTGCAGGGGTTTGTGTGTTGTGCAGGGGTTTGTGTGTTGTGCAGGGGTTTGTGTGTTGTGCAGGGGTTTGTGTGTTGTGCAGGGGTTTGTGTGTTGTGCAGGGGTTTGTGTGTTGTGCAGGGGTTTTTGGGTCATGCAGGGGGTTTTGGGTCGTGCAGGGCTTGATCTGTGGGTTGTGTTGTGCAGGGGTTTGTGATTGGGTTCATCTTGCCCTGCAGCTGCCAACATGTGGAGCTCCCCGGGGCCCCTCTGGGCAGTGGTGATGCTGCTTGTGACCATCGTGCACGCAGGGGTGAAGGTGACCCCAGATGTGAAGTACACCAAGACAAAGCCCTCACAGCTGGCGGGCCATGGCCCCTCTCACACCACCCTGGGCCCCCTCACGGCAGCACCAGGCAGAGCCAAGTTACCCACCCTGAGCCCTGCAGCCCCAGCATCAGCCACGCTC